CATTTCCCATGGTCTTTAAGAACCCAGATACCAGTCCTCTGTCTGTCTCCAGGCGGATCCACCCCCATGCAGACGTGCTGATCTGGTGAGAAAGACGCTCTCTCAACCTTCGCACTGATGTTGGCTTTTTACACAGACTGTCGCAGAATGTAGCGATGTAGTTTGCTGTTGTTATATTAAGACTGTTACCCATGCTACACCATGCTTCAAGACAAAACTTCATTGACTTGTCATTAGAAATGAATATTTCACAGTATATGATTATATATGTTTTTTGTGATTAATCACTATGCATTAATTATGTTCAACTTGTAACAATCAGAATACATCCGGCATATCAGATATTTACATTATGATTCATAACAGTTGCAAAATGACAGTTATGAAGTAGCAATGAAAATCATTTTATAGTTGAGGTCATCATGACATGAGAAACTAGGAAGTTGAGAACCACTGCACTAGATGGTGCCCAGCTACCACTACCACCAACTGCGGTGGCAGGGATCCCACTAGAACGTCCCGGAGAGTGGAGAAAGACGTGGAGGTTTCTGGGTTGGATGGAGGCTAGGGATCCCCTGAGCCTATGGCCCTTCCTCACCCTTCAGGTCCAGCATGAGTCCACACCTCCGTGGCTCAGTTTTTGACCAAATAATTGACAGGTCGATCTATCAACCGAACTCATGGGCATTGAGTAGATTCTGATGACTCACAGGGACCCTACAGGACAGGGTCAAACTGTCCCTGTGGGCTTCTGAGACTGTAACTCTTCACGGGAGTAGAAAGCATCATCTTTCTCTCGTGACAGGTCTATAAGGTGAACAGGAACACGTGGGAGATCTGCACATTTTGGTGAGCAACCACTTGAGAGCAAAAGTCAGCATTTGCCCAAGGTCAAAGGAGAAGTGTGATGAGGGACGGAGTGTTGTGGGGTAGCAATGAAGCCCATGAACACGTCTCTGTTGTGGAACAGAAATTGCTCTGCCCCATCAAACGCTCCCCAAGCCACGATACAAAGTAAAAGAAAGAAAAAGATAGCAAGAAGACCTTGAGGATAAACAAATGCCAGGGTTTGGTGGGAGCAGGCGGTGGGGAATCTACGTTTGGCGAGATTCCAGCTGGAAGCCACCCCACCAGACAGAGCAGGACCGCTCCGTAGGATCTCCACGCCTGTGATCCTTCTGGAAGCCCCCCTTGCAGAGAGGCTGGTGGGTCCAAGCTTTTTAGCATTTGGTTAGCAGCCCGTAGATCAAGCATCACATCGCACAAAACAAACAAACCCAACGTCACTGCCATGAGTCGGCTCCGACTCACAGCGACCCTGGCAGACAGAGCAGAACTTCCTCTGTGGGTGTCTGAGACGGGCACTCTTGACGGGAGCAGCAGGCCTCCTCTTTCTCCCAAGGAGCAGTGGGTGGTTTAGAACCATTGACCTTGCCGTGAGCAGCCCAACTTATAACCTGTGGGTCACCGGGCTCCTCAGCATATCTCCAGGGTGTCTTATTTGAGACAGCAGGTGTTAAATATTGGCAGGCCGGTGCTAGGCCCGGGCAGTGGGTAGAGTGTGGGAAATAGCACTGTGGGTGCCAGTGGACAGGAGGGAGGTGATAGCCAACAGTGGTGAGTAGAAAGGTGAGAAGTTGGCCTTCATCCTACAACCTTTGAACCCAATGTCCTTTGTGTGCCATCTGTAACAGCTTGTTTGTGGGGTGTTCTGCCTATGCACTGCCCGGTGTCTGACTCCCTTGCTCTGTGGGGGCCGGGGCATCATCAGAAGGCACGGCGGAGCACAGTGCCTCTGGTGATGTAGAGGGCCAGTGGGGCTGAGGGGGACCCCTGGTGAGATGGGCTGGCACATGGTCACAATGGTGGAGTCAGACAAGCTGTTGTTCATGAGGATGGTGCAGGACTGGGCCACGGTTGACTGGGCTGGACATTAGATCACTGTGAGCCACAGCCTACTCGTGGCAGCTAGCAGCAGTGGGAAGCATTGTCCTGGGTAGACTTGTGTCCCCCAAGTAAGTGTTGACTTGGCTGAGCTTTGGCTTTCAGTGGTTTGGCAGTTACAGAATTGTCGCGATATGATATACGATACAATTTCACGTCAACTTAATCAAAGAACGAGGGGGTGGAGTTTAGTCTGTCATTCAGGCTACAGCCTGAAGATGCCTCCTTTTGGGCGTGGCCTAATCATGAGGCTTCTCAGAACTCCTCCTCTTCCTCCCTGGAGGTGGACACACACATACTCTCTCGGCTACACATTCCTGTTGACAAGCTACATGGAGCCATGCTGATGGCAGCCAGAGCCCTGGAGATGTGTCCAGCACCATGGGATCCACAGGACTTTCCACCTACCAGCCTGTGATCTTCCTGCATTTGGCCTCATTGCGTGTGCTGCATGAGTCTGGAGAGGAATTCATGGGCTAATATTGGACTTATGGGCTAATATCGAACTATGGACTTGGTTTGGACTGGGCTGAGATGTTTTATTGATGCATACTTACTTCTTGATATAAAGTCCTCTCTTACACACATACACGTGTCAATGAATTTGTTTCTCTAGGCAACGTGACAATTCAGTGAGCGATTGAAAGGTGGGCTGCAATGGCATGCTTACTCTGGTCACTGCCCGGTTCGATGTAAGGGGAGGCTTTCTGGGCGATGGCCTGCAACACCTTGTATTTTACCAGGGATAAAAGGAGAGAGGAAGGAGCAGGGGTCAGAGGGACCTGCTACCACCAAGAAAGAAGCGCTGGGAGCAGAGCACATCCTTTGGACCTGAGGTCCCTGCGCGGAGAACCTCCTAGACCCAGGGGACGACTGATGTCAAGATACAGGGGATGTTCAAGGAATGCCAGGCCCACAGATGCTGCAAGGAGACAAGGATCTTCCTCCAGAAAAGACACAGAGAGAAACCCTTCCCTTGAGCTACCACTCAGAGCCCAGACTTGTAAACTCTGAGGGAACAATTTCCGTTTGTAAAAGCCACCCACCCATGTGTGACATGTCTGTGACAGCAGCACCAGGCGACTGAGGCAGGCACGGTATCACTCCAGATACCAGATCAAGTGGAAATAAAACTATGTAGGGGACTACCGAGAGTCAGGTGGGGAGTCAGACCCCCATGATGAAACTGAAGTCAAATGTGCACATGATCCCCAGATCCTGGCTCCCGGTCCAGTGTTTCTGGTGCTTTAGTGCCTCTCGAGAGCACCCTAAGGCACTGATTGGCCCCACCCCGGGGAGGCCTCACGGGCCATGGGTCTCTGCGGGCACAGACACAACACACTTACTCTAGTCGTTCTTCCTCTTTCCTTCGAAGATCAAAGTCCCGCTGGATGACTTCCCAGACGTGCCTGGCCTCTTCGTCCGTTAGCTTGGAGAGATCCAGCTTTTTCCCCATCTCGGCTTCTGCTCAGGGTCACACCTGGAGTATCACAGGGTTATAAGGTCAGTCCCCGAGCCTTCCACTGCCTGCAAACTCAGAGTAAGAGCCACAAGAGCAACCTGCTTCCCAAGAAGTTCGTCTCTACCTGGGTCAAGTGAGTCCTTTATTTAACAGGGAAGTGCTCACTCGGCCCCTCAGATGTTAAAGAAGGGAGCCCCTGTCTCAAACTCCCATAGTTCCACTTCTAAAAGGGACATGCTTCCCACCTTCTGGTGACATGGATAAGTATTGCTACTCCAAGCGTGGTCCTTGGACCGGCAGCATTTCCTGGGAGCGTATTGGAAATGCAGATTTTCGGGTCCTGCCCCAGATGTGTGGGCTCAGAATTTGCCTTTTATCAAGACTGCAGCCTTGGTAAATGTCAGGGCCTGTCAATCATGACCCCGCTGAGCAGCAAGGCTGTGGCAGAGACTCCATGAGTTGGGTGGGGGAGGGAGGGTCACAGAGAGCCTGGGCCTGCATGTCCTGTGGGAGGGGTGGTGGGTGTCTGTGGTGATGTGAGTGTGGCAGTGGTGGCCATGGTGGTGGTTGAGCGGGGAATGAGGTCAGGCCCTCCTGCTGGCTTTTTCCCAGAGAGAAATTACGGCTGCTGATGTCACACTGTGCTGGTGTTGATACTATTGCTGGGTATAAAATCAGAGAGGATGTCAGCTCTGGTTGTATTGATGGTGGGTGGTGGTGGTGGGGGAGTGCAACACTGCAAACTCCACTCACCAGAGAGGGCCTCCTTGACCACCCAATGGTTCCCACTATCCCCTGCCCCACCCAATGGTTCCCACTATCCCCTGCCCTCATGGGCCATCCCACTCCAACCTGATCCCATCTCTTCAAAGCTCCTCCCAGTTGGGGAAGTCAATTCGTTAATGATAATCCAAGCTCCATGAAGCCAGCTGTTGTGTGTCTTCCCCTGACTGGACCACAGCAGGCCCTACGGGGGCCCCAGGATGAGGGCACTGCACCCAGACCTGCTCTGCTGCAGGCTCAGAGGCCCTGGAAATCATGACGTGGTGGTTCGTGTTCCTTAAGGACTTAAATCCGATTCCTTGTGAGCACCAGGAGCACCATGACTGCTCATCTGCTCTTGCCAAGAAACTCTGAAATGATCAGGACTCTGAATTCTGGAAGCATCTCTTTCCAACCAATTAGAGGCCCCACCAGGAAGCCGTGGGCATGACCTGCTCGCTGCTGGGAATGAACTCCTACTTGGCCGAGCAAGAGGCCAACTGTGAAGCCGATGATGAAACATGACCTTTTACTGGGGAGCATGGAGCATGGAGACACCTTGTGAAATGACATTTGCTACCCAGGCCCCTCGGCACCAGGATGGCCATCCAGACCCTCCATTGACCTCAGTGAAGAATGGCTTCTCAGATTACCACTAGGGCCCCCGGGCTCCACCCTCCACCCCTGTGTTTCCACTCTCAAGCCTGAGCTGCTGCCCGCTCGTGCAGGCTACGTTAGAAGCCGGCACCGCGCGTTGGGAGCAGTCAAGCACCCAAACTTTGTGTGTTAACTTTTGGCATCAGGATGAGAAGATGAACCAAGCTCACTCCTCGGAGTCTGCAGGTTTCTGGTTTTTAAAAACCTGGGCCAACAACAACAAAAGGTGTTTTCTGATGGATGACCGACTGGGCATGTTCATTTCAGTCTTTCTCCAGTTTGGAAACAAAACAACCCTCCCAGGTCGAGCCCTTCATAATCAGAGCCTTCCCTGGAATGCTATTTTGGGGACGGACGAAATGACTGTGACCGTCAACTGACTGGTCACCACTCTCTTTCTTCCTGAGGAGAGAGGCAACAATGCCTGGCCTCATTTTAAGAGACTCGTGAAGGACAGACACCAACCCAGGCACACAAGGTTTTGTTCTTACCCAGAGAGTTTCACACTCACAGGCCCGGAGAGGATGACTGTGAGTGGACTTTCATACGGGGAGACTCGATGGCAGTGTGGTTTTATTTAGCTTTGAGTTATTTTATCGAGAAAGGAAAAATTTCTACAACCGGGCAACATGCAGCCTTGTGATCAGAGACGATGAGGTCAGGATTTCACCCTTGGGGCCACAGTCAGTGCCCATGCAAGCCCTGGAGGCCAATGGGTGACACTGGGAGTGATGACCTCTTCAGGCGTTAGAGCAGAGAAGGCCCGGGCTGGCC